AAGAATGAATCAGAAGATTGTACTAATATTGTTAATTCCTATAATCAGGGTAGTGATTCTCCAAGAAATGATGGTTCTAACAATCCTTCAAAGCATGTTATTGATACAGCAGCACCAATTGAATCTGTCAAAGATGCAGTGTCCAAGTTTGGAGGAAAAGTTGGTTGGAGGGGGACTCAAACCCAGAGCATGGAGGTACATTGCTTCAATGTTTGTAAATATCTATTTTTCGTACCAGTTTCGTCCCTCAAAAATCGAAAATTTCAAAATGGTCTAAAAAAAATATCTTTGTAGGAAGTTGGGTAGGAAGGTATAACATTTCTTTTTACAATAATAATACCTTATGAGAGATCAGAATCCTTAAATATTTATCCATTGACCCAAGTAAGAACTTTCTAATATTACTTTACAAGGGATCACAATCCTGTTATACTAGTGATTTTGTCTTACGGTTGGACTAAGAACTTTCTTTTTTTTGTTTAACCCCTCACCCTATGGATAATGAACTAATTCATTTCGGGGTGTACGGTTGTCCCTACTAACAAGTGTCATTCCCAAAATCGAACTTTTGACCTTTCGGTCTATCTGGGAATCCAGTGGGGCTTTACACCAATAGACCAATGTTTTGTTAGTTTTTCTGATTGGTGTTGCGTGCATAGATTGAGGCTTGAATGTCTTAAACCGACTAGTCTAATCTAATTGTATATGTTTAATGGCTCATCAGAGAGGCAAGCTTGAGGGACAAGATTTTGGAAAACCAGATACCACAGAGGAATTGGAAAACATCAAGAAACTCATTGAAGAACTCAAAGTTAAATTAGAAAAGGTAGAACGAGAAGAGGGCGAGGTAAAAGAAGAGGTCGAAATTGCGAGTCTCAAAATTGAAGAGATGGAGAAGGATATTGTGAATGAAGCTAGTATTGAAGCCAATGCACAAGTTGAGGCTGAGAAAGCAAGACATGCTGCCGCGGTTTCAGATTTGGAATTTATTAGATGGGAACTAGACTCATTGAATGAGGAGTATGCTTCTATGGTCAGTGAAAGAGATGTAGCTGTGAAAAAGGCAGAAGAGGCTGTCGCTGAATCCGAGGAAGTTGAAAAGGAACTGGAAGATTTGGCTGCCGAGTTGATTGCAACAAAGGAGTCATTGGAATCGGCACGAGCAGCGCAATTGGATGCAGAAGAACAAAGATTAGGAGTCATTGATGAAGAAACTCACAACTTAAAGGTAGAATTTGAACAAGCAGAAGAGGAGTTTCAAATACTTAACCAGCAAGTTTCCTCAGCAAAAGTTCTCAAATCTAAATTGGATGCATCTTCCTCTTTACTGCTTGATTTGGAAGCTGAATTAGCTGCATATATGGAATCTAAAATAAAAGAGGAAAGCATCGAAGAAGAACGTAAAAAGGAGCTCGATGAATTAAAACTGAACATAGAGAAAGCAAATGCTGAGGTTAACAGCTTGAGGGAAGTTTCCGCGTCACTAAAATCAAAACTAGAACTAGAGAAGTCATTGCTCACTGACCTCAAGCAAAGTGAGGAAAAAGCTTCTGCTGCAGTTTTAACTCTTCGAGAAGAACTAGATAAGACTCAGTCTGCAATAGCTTGCCTCAAGATGAAAGAGGAAGAAGCAAGAGAAATGATGATTGAATTGCCGAAGAAACTTCAGCAAGCGACACAGGATGCTGATGAGGCCAAATCACTTGTTCAGGCTGCTCAGAAAGAGCTTGTTGAAGCACAAGAAGAGGCTGAGCAAACCAAGGCAAGAGCAAGTACATTGGAGAGCAGATTACTAGCAACACAGATGGAGATAGAAGCTAGCAAGGTTTCTAAAAGGTTGGTGAAAGAATCGATTTTCGCATTGGAGAAGAGCGAATCAAGTAGAAGCAACAATGACATGGACTATTCCAATGTGGTGACAATCACACTGGATGAATATCACGAGCTCAGTAAGCGAAGCTATAAGGCGGAGGAGCAAGCTAAAGCGAGGGTTGCAGCTGCTAATTCTCAAATCGAGATGGCCAAGGAGTCCGAGTTAAGAAGCTTGGAGAGGTTGGAGGAACTGAATGAAGAGTTGGCCGTGAGAAGTGAATCTTTGAACATTGCGGCCGAAAAGGCGAGACAAGGGAAGTTAGCTGTAGAAGATGAGTTAAAAACATGGAAAACAGAACAAAAGCAACAAAGAAATGACATGACTACTAATGCAGCAGCAGCAACAGCAAATGAACCTGTACATGATTTATTAAGATCAAAGGATAAAACTCCTATGAATGATGCTGAAACCGGATCAGCCCCGGATACAAAGAGCAAAAAGAAGAAGAAATCATTGTTTCCTTCAAAGGTTGTTATGTTCTTTGCAAAGAGAAAGACTCATCCAACCAAGTAAATGTCTTATTCCTCAAGATATTGTGTATTGGCTTCAAAGTGTATGAATTTGTTTGTTATTTGATTCCATGAAGAAAAATACAATCATTTATTGTATATAAGGATACAATGACATTATTTTCCATTCACAAAACAAGATAAACATGATTTCTGATACATAAACTTTGAAAGAAAACAAATTAAATCACAATTCAACCTCTTCTAGTATCAATTAAATCAGTTTATTGGAGTTGGAGAACCTTCTTTATATTCTTCCTATGAACACTGTCATATAACTACTATATTATATATTCATCAATGCATTATATTCATATTTGTTCATGTTTTTTGCATACCAGAATATAAAGATTTATAATATAGTTATATAATACTTGACTCTGAGATAATAAAAATTCTAAAATACATATCTACCTTCCCACCATGAGATATGACTAAAACAACTTAGCAAATTATATATGAAGAAATAAATAAATGACATATATAAATCTAAATAATATTTACTTGGGTTATACTCCCATTAACATAAATATGAAGAAATGAGTATTGTTTTTATTAAATTTAGTATATCTCTCATGAATAAAGATTATTGAAAGGTGCATACAGTAGTGTTTTTAATTTTATCACAGTAGTTATCTTTGACATTTTCTATATGAAGCCTATATATATAAATGGGAAAAGGGTATTACAATATAAATAATATTTTCAATAATTTCAAAAAAGTTGCATAGTAAAAATCCTAGTTCATAAGCTAATTGGAAGCCTTTATTGGCATTGAAAGTGAGTTAAAAATAACAACCAGGAAATCCCAAATAAACAGTCAAGAATAAAAAAATTGTCAAGCTTTCTCTATTCATTTTAAAATAAAGAAAAGAAAGTAAGATATTAAAATAAATATGGGAAAAATTTAATTGTAAGGATTTCACATGTGCATCAATTCCCATAAAATTTAGAGTTAATTACACTGATACCCCTGAATTTTAGTGAAATTACATAAATCACTCATTCCTTTTTTGTCTTTACACGAATCACCCCTCCATCTTACACGAACCACCCCTAATTTTGTACATATATTACACTGAACACTCAGGGGTGTAATAACTTATATTTATATCTCATCGGGAGTATAATATTTTTTGTTAGAAAATATTATATTTATATCTCATCAGAGTGTAATATATGTATAAAATTAAGGGTGATTTGTGTAAGAGGGAAGGGTGGTTCGTATAAGGACAAAAAATGAGGGTGATTTGTATAATTTCACTAAAACTCAGGGAATGATAAAGAGTTGATGTTCAAATGCAAATAAAACCCATATATCTACATTGATTCCATTTAAAAGCTCAAGTTTAATATATTTTTCTCTGTTTATTATAAAATCTACCTTGTTATTCTTGTTCTCTTTAGCTCATGCAAAACTTACTCGGATCTATTTACTTAAATAGTAAGTTTTTTAAATTTACTTCACATCTTAGTCATTAATTCTAGGGAAATCTAATGGTTTAGATCTACTTACTAATTCAAACCATTGGATTTACTTAGAATTGATGGCTAAGATGTAAAGTAAGTTTGGAAGTGGATGTCATCCGATTTTAGAAATATCAAGATGGGTCCAAAGAAGGGTAACAAGACAAAACCACAACCACCAATAATAACACATCTGACTTCGTTATCCGCCGCCAATGATGACATATAGAAGCCAACACTACCACCTACACCACCCCCACTAATAACACGTCCAACTTCATTATCGGCTAACAATATTACATATCATTATTATCTAATTCATAATGACAAATATTAACTTCTGATTCTCTTCCATTAATGTGGTTAATTTTTTTAATCAAACTTAATAAAGAGGAACATTGATATACATTATTTTTTATTTATCCTTGATCTTATTGAAACACAATGGTATAAACTATTATTGATGTTAAAATCATAATCAAAGTTTTGAAAAATAAGATTAATAACTTAAAATGAAAAAAAATGCCTACATTGGTGCAGTTGTATTCATCTTGTATTATAATATAAAAGTGAAATTTTCATTCAGATAAAACTTGATAAGTTAAAATTGCATTAAAAATAATATTACAAGATTGCTAGCCTGATACGTGTTCTTGTCATGGCTGATCAATTGACTCAGCAAAAGTGTAGAATCCAATTTGGTAGGATCTTGATAGAATTGGATAAATGCATGCCAGATGAAATATATTTTTTTGAAAAAGAACTTGGAATTGCAATTAATCAGTATAATATTTTAATAATGGAAACATACCCTATGTGAGAAATGTGTTACTTACCGTCCTTTTATGAGAGTTGAGTTTTGGAGAAAAACTGGAAATGAAAGACTATGCATACAATAATAAAAAAATTTACTTTCATTTCCCTTAAACTCAACTCACTAACATACCATACTACTACAAAAACATTGCAGGTAAGGAAAGAGTAAGAAAATAATAAATACATGCTACTCAGAATGAAACTATTGTCATCCAGTTTCAGAATACTCCGAAACCAACCAAGAGCATAAGACCGCATCACGTGATGTGGCCACCAATGTGGTGAATATCGCAACCACATTACACTAAATCATAATGATATTAGCCATCACGCCACAACACAACAGCATCGGGACACGTCTGGCCGCATCAAATTCAAAAATACTGTTTTAATCACACAAAAATTCACACTGCAACAGTTGCAATTCGTGTCGCAATGGTATTTACCTTGCTGGAGTTAAAAAGAGATCAGAACAAGCATTTTACATGAAACTGGTTTTCAATGTGCAGGTTTTCCTATGAAATACTTAGGAGTGCCAATTTCTCCACATGTATGGTCAAATAGTGACTGTGATGCTTTGGTACAGAAGGTAACAGATAGAATGAATACATAGAAAACTAGACATGTATCCTACATGGGCAGATGCTTATGCCTTTACTTGAATCTTGGGCAAAGATATTCCTGATTCCTAAAAGTTGCTCAAGAAAATTGAGAGGAAATGTGGAGAATTTCTCTGGGAGAATTATTGAAAAGAAAATTGGAAGAAGAATATATCAGGAATCTATAACATAAGGGATGGATACAAGTGGCTTAGTGGCGATGAAGCAAATGACGGATTCCACCAAGCAAATGACAGATTCCAACAAGCAAATGACAGATTCTCATGGAACACTTGGAGCAAAAGCAGTGTCCCAGAGCATAGATTTATTTTTCTGGTTGACCCTTCAGAAGAATTTACTCACTAGGGACATATTGTTAATGATGAATATTCCAGTTAATGATCCTGAAAATGCTATAGAATCTACTCATTTGTTCTTTGCTGTCATTGGTCCATGGAGTTTCTCACTCAACTGTGTTCTTGACTTGGCATTGCCAATTGGAAGTAAAGATGGTATTCATGGAGGGATTGGCTATGCTTAGTGTGAGAAGAAGGAAATAGCTTTAACATGTTGCTTGGGGTTGCTCCATTGTTTCTGAGTACACATGGAGGGAGAGGAATGCTCCAATTTTCTCTCAGGAAAGAAAAGAGCCAAAAGCAATGTTCCAGCTAGCAAAAAAAGATTAGCTATTAGACTTTTTATGGTTTTCCTTCTTTAGGAGATTAGCACAATGTAACCATCTATGACAGGATTAAAGCTTCAGTTTAGACACTCATGTTAGCACAATGTAACCATCTATCACAGGAATAAAGCTTCAGTTTAGACACTCATGTTATATGATTTGAGAAGAATCTTTCATAGAAGGTGGCTTCCTAGTCATATAATTATGCTAGTTTGTCATAATAGTTTGCTTGTGGTTATATGTTATCTCTTTACCAAAAACTAATTGAATTTACTTGAGGTTAAATACTTGGAAGTATAATTATTAGCAATAGTAGTATCTCTTTAATAGATTGTAATACTATAAATGATCACCTTCATAATACAAACAAGAATTTGACCTTGTATTTGGCAAGGTTATCTTCCTGTAAAGCAGCATGGAGCAAGATGTTAGATCCTAATGCGTCGGTACCCTCTACAGAGTCTCATTACTCATTACCCACATGCTGATCATCCCGGCTGGACCTAAGATTCTCGTTCTCAGGTACTTCTCCAAGTTGCTCCTGAAAAACCATTATATCATAATCATATAGCATGTGAGTCTTTGAATAAATCTTTAAAGATATTATAAACAGAATAGGGAAAGTCACACACTCTCACTAGCACATCTAGGCCTTATTCTTTTTCTTTTCTGTTCTTTTTTTCTTCTTTGAATCAGGGTTCAAATGTGTGTAAATCAGTTGTTATGGACTTATTGTCCAGTACTATTTGGTCTCGGCACTATTCCATGAAGCAGAATAGACAGAGAAAATATGAAAGCATGTCTAGATTTCAAAATCACCTTGAGGGCTGCATTCTCAAAGATTAGTTGTTCATAATCCATGCTGATCCGGCTCAATTCTGAACGGAGAGAAGCATTTTCTTCTTTCAAAGCCTCAGCATGCTGAGCTAGTTCATCACATTCGGCCTGAGATCGGCACACATAAACAGGAATTTGAAATATGACAACAATGTGACCATGGAACCATAAGTAGGAAAAGATTATACTGTCACCTGCTTGCGCAACCTGGATCTGCGAGCAGATTCCCTGTTAGACTGCTTCCGCTTTTGTCTTTTGAGCTCTCTATCATCCTAAAAGTTAAGAACAGAAAATAAAGATTTAAGGAAGAAGTTTAGAGAAAATACTATAAAAAAAAACATGTTGACAAAGTTAACCTGTAGCCAAGGTTGTGAGTGAACACTATCCCGTGACCCAGCAGCAACCATCCCTCCAGAAACTGCTGTAGAAGGAACCTTTCCATGCAGCGCAGGAATAGTGGATGAAACCGGTGTACCCCAATAATCCATTCCTATATTTAAATTAGTTGTAGGACCAGGAACTGCCCCATGAGCACCATCAGCAGAGATAGGCACAATAGGCATAGTTTGGTTATGAGCATGCACTGAACTGCCATTTAGAGATGGTTCATCTGTAATACAGAAAAGGTAACAGGTATTGCAGCTGGAAGACATGTACTTTTTTGGGTACAAATATGAAGCATACTTTATGTAGAAAATATTTCTGGATATAACCATGTCTGACCTTCAAAAGAATCATGCCTTTCCCCAGATTTCAATTGAGAGTCCTACAAAACCCATTGAAACAAATACCAGGGGTAACTACCAGGCAGTTGAAGAGCACAAAACAACAACAAAATGACTTATGAAGTACATCATAATGTGAACTGTATAGAATGCCACCTCTATATCAAGATACAGTAAATGTCTTTAGTGAAGATCAATCTAAATTTTCTCAGAATTCTTTTATACAAGGCAGATCCACACTATTTCAAAGTTCAATATCATGAAACTACGTGTATATATATATAAACCAATGGCTTTAGTGTGTATGGATATTCAATTTTTATATTCAAGATAACTTTAATCAAAATCTGTCTGAAAGAGCTAAAAAACAATATTCCCTCAAAATAAGTTGCAAAACCAAACAACCCATTAACATAAGTCAGCTATGCAGTTAAAGAAATATGATACTTAAAACTTTGGAACATATATCAATTCATATACCTATTGGTCTGTAAAATTGAAATCAGTAATCATAATGAATTTCAAAACCTTATTATTATATGAAGCCAATCTAACATTGATAGAGCTAGACGCACAACACACACCTGGAATACTTATTTTATTTATGAAAATGGAGGAGTTTCCACAGAAACAGTAGAGATACCTCTGGAAACTAGAAGGAAATACAAGAAAATGTCTCTCAACTCCCATAACCGAGATCTCAAGCCACAATGGCCGAAATCCACTCCAAAATCCTGGTCTAGCCCCCCCCCCCCCCCCCCCCCCCTCCTTCTCTATGTCTCCTTGCCAGATCCTATCCTTCTCTCTCTCATTTCATATTCTTCTCTCTCTCTCCTCCATTTCAGTAACTAACTCTCCTCGTTAGTTTCCTACACATGCCCCTTTCTTCTTCTAAAAGCTGTAAATGACTGTTCCATTTTTAAACATAAATAAGTTGCATGACTCGGCCAGTGTACTTAAATCGGCGGGTCACTCTTTTTCATAAAAAATAACCAAGTCAAACTGGTTCGTAGTGGTTCAAATGTTTAACCGATCTAAATGTTCATCCAAACTGGTTAGGCCTAATACTATTAGGTCTTATACTATCAGGCTTTATTGTCCCATGGAAGCCAAACAATACCTTATATTTTGCCTAATTAGTGCTGATAGAATTACAAATTTGTGCAGAATTATATTTTGGTAGTCTATGAAGAGTTACAGCACTCGCTTAGTCATTATCTTTATGCCACTCCTAAGACATTTTCCTAAATAAGAACAAAAGGTTTTTTTAACTTATTTTGTTTGTAAACATATTGGCTATGTAGTAAAAAGTGGCACAGAACTTACACATTGAGAATTTTCGTCACTTCCTTCACTAGTACCTTCACTTGCACTCTCACAACTACAAATCCAACTTGTCATATCAGCATAAGCATTAAGTAGCCAGAAAGCAATTGCAAACGACAAACCATTCCACTGAAGAGATTCATAACGTGATAAAACACCCATTGTCAACCCTAAAGCCCTATTGATATATTTCCTATAGTAGACAGCACAGTAAATCCCCAATATTGAGTAAATACCAATTGAATAAAGTAACTCGGGTTCTATGATCTGGAATGGCTGAAAAGATCAAAAGAAGGTTCACAACTTAGATGAAGATTAAATAAATGAAAAAAAAATTGGCAGGACAATTGGGTGGGGATTAATAGATAATGCTAAAAGCAAGATAGGGCATAATTCAACAACTAGATTGATCAACATACCGCATCTTACCTTTTGGAATTAATTCCATTTGCAGATGTCCCTGGTGTTTTACAAGGTTCATTGTTTTTTCCGGTAATCATATTCAAACTACCCAAACTTCCTTTTGATCTTTTGATTGGTAATTTGTTCTTCACTTCAGGAGGCTTACCATTAGCTTCCACGCTGCCAGCAGTATTTCCCTGCATGTAAACTTGTAGGTCACTATTTCCTTACTCAGATAAGAATAAGCCCATCACAAGAAACAGATAGACAGGCAAACAGAAAAAGGAAAAAAAGAACTAAGAAAGAGTGACAAAGCAGAGAAGTAAAGATGGCTAAAATCACTCACTGAAGCATCAGCAGTACCATTCGGAGACTGCATGGTGAAAGGACTAAAAGGATAAGATCCCTATATAAATTCATGGAAACATACAAATATCAATTAATCAGTTGGAGATTTTGATGATTAATTTACAATATGATACCTTAAAGAAAGCATAATCTACGGAAGAATACCGGAGGAATGGATGGATGACCATATACACCACCATGGGGATACATTGCAACATATGGATGTGGTGGGGTACCATAGGGAGGCATAATATGCTGCAAGTGAAAATTTCACCAATCAACCAATGGAAAACATTAGGGAGAACTAAAACTAGATATTCAGTAATATAGGTGTAATGAGGTATACACAAGTTTCAGGCATAGTACACAATTAAAAAATGACAGGTAAAGTGGGTCTCATTCAACAATAAATGATAAAAACATAAAATATTCATGTTCCAAAATTGGATCCACTCACATTTTGGATATAATCCTGAAGTTTCTGATGTGATAAACTAAGTTAACTAACTAAATACCATTCCCATGTCATGAGATATGCAATGAAATAGCATCAGGGTGTGTATATATGTATAAACCCCAAAGATACTGCAGTTATGAAAACAGTATTAATAGCAACACGTATTTTAAATGATACCAAAGTTGTTTGCTTCACTTATGTATTCATTGTTCAAACATTATTATTAGTTGAGATTCTCCCATGTACTTCAGAAGAGAAAAAATGGGAGCGCTCCTGACCAGATCAATTTCTCAGCAACAGTTTTTTTTAATAAAGAAAAGACATATTATCAGAAAAGAGTGGAGAGAATAACAAGGAAATCGTCAGACACAAAAAGAAACAGTTAGAAACTACGCGAAAGGATTATGCAACAAAGAATGTCAATCTCTCTGCATATCTACCATATGAACACCCTAAAAGTGAAGCCAAAAAAACAACCCTATCCCAGACATAATCCTGAGGCGAAAAAATCATTGAAAATTATATTGTTCCTTTCCAACCAAATGCATCAATGGACTGCAAAAACCAAGCACGGGCATAGAATTTTGCCATCTTTAGGAGAGTCGAAGACTCTGAACATAGTAAGCAGGAAACAGTGCAAGTCCAAAGGATAGATCCAAGATTTGTGAAAGATAAAAAGATATCTATTCCAAATATTGTTTGTCGCCAAGCAATGCAAAAAATATAAGATCCACTTCCAGATTCTGAACCACACATTATGCACATAAGGAGATAAAGCAATCACAGGTTTGCCCTTCTGGAGCATATCATTGATGTTAATACTGTTAAGAAGAGCAGTTCAAAAAAGCTTTAACCTTAGAAGGAGCTTTAGACTTCCATATGAGTTTCTCCGAATGACAACTGTTGAGTTTTGTGATAGTGTCAATAACTGAAAAAGGTTTTACATGTTGAACATTCCTGAGGGATCAAGGAGCCAAACTCTAATCAGGAAGAGAGGAGAGACATGTAGAACCAATTAAGACCAAAAGAGACTCATTAACATCTATATTATGTAGGTTTCTGAAGAGATGTAAATTCTAAGAGGGACTATGTTGACAATAAAACCAACAAACATGGGCATCATTAAGCAAATAAGAAAGACGAAAAAGTCTTGGGAAAGATTCAAAAAGAGGGACATTACCAATCTAAATGTCTTCCCAAAAGTTAGTATGAGAACCTTCCCCAAACATCAAGGAACAGTTGTAAACAAATATTACTTCACCCCCTTGCTGTACTCTCATCAATAGCTATTGTTTCTTGTTAATATGCAGCAACAACATTAATATTGCCCGAGATTTTTTACATTGATAAGCTATGTATCATTGATACTATATCCAATTAGAAAGTGACATGGCTTTAAATTTTCAGTTAGTTCATAGCTTGAAAATTTTAAGTCTGCCAGATCTCAGAAATGTGCTAATAACTTTCCGGATGGAAATAATTAGCCAGTCTTTAAAATCAGAGGTTCATAACTTCAATGAAGCACACTCTTGAATCTCAACAAAAAATTTACTTCCCAACTAACTAGCCAACTTTAGAATTCAGATTGATTTTCTTCACAAATGGTTTTTATATTGAATCATCCCTCACGCAAAAGCCTTTTGGGCTTGAAGCCTGGACAACACGTGATCCAACCATACCCTATGCTAAAAGTCAACTTGTATTAAAACAATGGGGCCGTTATGTGGCAAGGGTCAAAATTTAGACCACTTGGTTGCAGAGGCTCTGAAACCATGTCAAGAATTTTAACTAGAGAAATTGAATATATAACTGATATGTGCGATGTGATATAATAACCAAAGATTCTA